GGGCGACTATATATTTGGATGAGTTAAAAGTGTCGGTGTGCTGCTGCTGCTGCTGCCGCTGCCGTTGCTACTAGTGTTAATTTATCTTCTTTTCGTTTAAGTCCTTCTTCTAGTTTTTATTTATGGAATTCTCCTTTAAGTCGTGTTTCGTCTTCTCGTTTGAGATTTTTGGCATCTACAGGGGCTTTAAGAAATTTGCAAACTTGTGATATTTCTGATTGTAGTGGATGTAAACTGACAAAATTTTTAACTTTACCTTTTAATTGAAGTATTTATGTTTCTTCTTCTCCATTTGATTTGATTCATTCTGATGTATGAGGACCTTCTCCTGTTGCCACAAAAGGAGGGTCTCGATATTATGTTTCTTTTATTGATGATCATACTCGTTATTGTTGGATTTATTTAATGAAATATTGTTCTGAATTCTTTGAGATATATACAGCCTTTCGAGCTCTTGTCAAAACTCAACATTCTGCTGTTATCAAATGTTTTAGGTGTGATTTGGGTGGGGAATACACTTCTAATAAATTTGATGAGTTGCTTGTCTTAGATGAAACTATTCACCAAACTTCTTGTACAAATACTCCTGAGCAAAATAGTGTTGCTGAAAAAAAACATAGGCACATTGTTGAAACTACTCGTTCTCTCGTGTTGTCTTCTTCTGTTCCTAGTGAGTTTTGGGGTGAAGCTGTTCTTACTGCTGTAGGTTTGATTAATACAATTTCATCTTCTCATATTTCAGGTGTTTCTCCTTTTGAAAAGTTGTATGGGTATGTCCCTAATTATTCTTCATTTAGAGTTTTTGGTTGTACTTGTTTCGTTCTTCGTCATCATGTTGAACGCAACAAGCTGTCCTCTCGATCTGCTATTTGTGTCTTTCTTGGTTATGGTGAAGGTAAAAAGGGTATCGTTGTTTTAATCCAATAACTCAAAAACTTTATCTGTCTCGTCATGTTGTTTTTTTGAGCATATACCTTTCTTTTCTATTCCATCCACTACTTATAGCTTGACTAGATCTAATCTTATTCGTATAGATCCTTTTTTTGAGGATTCTAATAGTTTGTCATCTCAGGTTTCTAGTACTTCAAATACCAGCACTGATCATTCTACAGGTACTGACACTTTACTCTCTAGCACACCTGAAGCTACCTCCTCTCCTATGGTCCCTCAAGCTCCATCTGAGATTGCGGATCCACCTCTACGTCAATCCACACGCATTCGTAAGTCCACAAAGTTACCAGATTTTACTTATTCTTGTTATTCTTCATCTTTTACTTCCTTTTTACCTTCTATTCATTGTCTCTCTAAGCCCTCTTCCTATAAAGAGGCAATTCTTGACCCTCTTTGGTAGCAAGCTATGGATGATGAACTTTCTTCTTTGCATTAGACAGGTACTTGGAATTTGGTTCCTCTACCTCCTGGTAAGAGTGTTGTTGTTTCTCGTTGGTGTATAAGATTAAGACCAATTCTGATGGATCTATTGAGCGATACAAAGCTAGGTTGGTTGCAAAAAGGTACTCTCAACAGTATGGTATGGATTATGAGGAGACATTTGCTCCTGTTGCAAAAATGACTACTATTCGTACTCTTATTGCAGTTGCTTCGGTTCGTCAGTGACATATATCTCAACTTGATGTTAAAATGCCTTCTTGAATGGGGATCTTCAAGAAGAAGTTTATATGGCTCCCCCTCCTGGTGTTTCACATGATTCTAGGTATGTTTGCATGCTCAAGAAAGTGTTATATGGTCTCAAACAAGCACCTCGTGCTTGATTTGAGAAATTTTCTGTTGTGATCTCTTCCCTTGGGTTTACTTCCAGTAGTCATGATTCTGTTCTTTTTGTTAAGTGCACTGATGCAGGTCGTATCATTCTGTCTTTATATGTTGATGACATAATTATTACTAGTGATGATATTAATGGTATTTCAGTTTTGAAGACAGATTTAGCTAGACAGTTTGAAATGAAGGATTTGGGTTCTCTACGATATTTCTTGGGTATTGAGGTAGCCTGCTCACCTAGAGGTTATCTTCTTTCTCAATCGAAATATGTCGCAGATATTCTTGAGGGAGCTAGACTTACTGATAATAAGACTGTAGATACTCCCATTGAGGTTAACGCAAAGTATTCTTCTTCTGATGGTTTACTTTTGTCAGATCCTACTTTATACCGTACTATTATTGGGAGCTTGGTATATCTCACTATTACTCGTCCAGATATTGCATATGTTGTTCATGTTGTTAGTCAGTTTGTTGTTTCTCCTACTATAGTTCATTGGGCAGCGATTCTTCGTATTTTGAGGTATCTTCGAGGTACAGTCTTCAGAGTTTTTTACTTTCATCCACCTCTTCCTTGTAGCTATGTGCATACTCTGATGCTGATCATGGCAGTGATCCCACAGATCGCAAATCTGTTACTGATTTCTGTATCTTTTTGGGTGATTCTCTTATTTCTTGGAAGAGTATGAAACAATCTATTGTTTTTCAATCTTCAACTGAAGCAGAATATCGTGCTATGACATCTACTACTAAAGAGATTGTTTGGTTACGTTGGTTACTTGCAGATATGAGAATTTCTCTTTCTCATCTCACTCCTATGTATTGTGACAACCGGAGTTTTATTCAGATTGCTCACAATTCGATTTTTCATGAACGAACTAAGCACATTGAGATCGATTATCACCTTACTCGTCATCATCTCAAGCATGACACCATTACTTTGTCCTCTGTTTCTTCTTCTTTACAGATTGCAGATTTCTTTACTAAGTCGCATCCTATTTCCCGTTTTCGTTTTCTAGTTGGCAAACTCTCGATGCTTGTCGCTGCTGCTGCATCGTGAGTTTGAGGGGAGATGTTAAGAAATATAGAGTTATTTTGTTTATTAAGGGTATAATAGTCCTTTATTTTCCCTTCCTTGTTTAACTTTTATATAGTCTCATTGTATTTAGGTTAATTTATTTCCTTATATTCAATTGAATTATGCAGTATCAATAAAACTCTAGCTTCCTCTTTTCTTAGCTCTTGTATTTCTTTAGTTTGTTCAACAATTTTCATATATGTGCAACAGGGAAAATCAAAAAATAATAAGCTTACTCAAAACATATCATGGAAACAAGCTAGGAAAAGACTTGACAATTTAAAACATGTTATGAAAACTAAGCTAGCAGGGAAAAAGACATTCCCAAAAAGACTGAAACGAAAAACTTGAATAAACCAGTATAAAATCTAGTCTCAAGAATCACAACATGAACATGTTGGCTGATATGTGCCTACAGATGACAAAATCTCTGAACTCGTACAAATCATTAGAGATGATAAATAAGCTGGCATACATACAAGTGTTTCTTCATAATCTACTCAATTTCAGCATCTTTATTTTTCTTCTTCTTCTTCTTTTCCTTCCTCTCCCTTTTACTTGCTTCCTCACCACTCCCAGGAGTAGCTGAAGGCAAAACAGAGTTATCACCATTCTCTGCAGCTTTATTCTTCTTCTTTTTCTTCTCAGATATCTCTCCATAAAATGATCCAGGCTCATCCTGCTCCTTGTCTTTCTTTTTTTTCTCCTTCTTAGCTTTTTCAGCGTCAGAAAATACCGTCTCATCACCCTCTTTCTTCTGCTTCTTTTTCTTCTCTTTCTGTTCAAACTGTACGATTTCTTCAACTTCTGTAACCTTTGCTTTCTTAGCACCATCTGGTGCAGGACCGTCACCAATCTCCTCAACTTTACGCTTATGCCCCTCCTCACCATCATCCTTATCTTTATGCTTCTTCTTCTTTTTCTTCTCACCCTCCACCACAGCAGTCTCTGCATTTGCCAAAACCGGCTCACTCACAGCCGCAAGACTCGCAACCATTGAATCCCCTCCTGTCGGGAGAGCCACATTTCTCAACCACTCAGAAGGGGTGTTCTCAGTTGGCTTCCCATGCTTATCCAACTTCCCCTCTGCAATCAACTTCTTCTTCATTGAAGCCCTCGGCCCCAAACCCCATTTCCTCGGATACGTATCTCTATCCATTACTACCCTCTTAATCCTTGCAACAACCCCATGATCACAAGTAGCCATAACAGCTGTAGTCATCTCTGCAATACCCAATGCAATTGCTTCTCCTTTAGTAGTCATCAATACAACTTCCTCCCCCGCCTCAACATCATTCTCAAATCTTAACAACCCCGGAATCATCAACTTAGCCCCATAACAAATGGCATTCACCGCGGAATCCTTCACCACCAACCTCTTGTAACTAGTCAAAAGAACCTCCAAAGGCATGATAACCCTCCTCAAGTAAATCTCATCTCTATAATTATCGTACATCCACTGTGCATCCATAACATCATGCATAGTTACCATATTATCTTTCTCACCCATAATCCCCGACCGAACTCTCCTCAGCTCCTGCATATGACCTCCCACACCCAAAATCAAACCCAAATGCACACACATAGTCCTCACATACGTGCCCGCCTCACAAGAAATCCAAAAAACCACCAAATGTTTATTTGGGTCATACTCCAAAAGCTTACTCTCATATATAGTCCTAACTCTAAGCTGCCTTTTCACGGCGGAGATCAACGGTGGCCGTTGAAAAACAGCCCCAGTAAGCGTTTCCAGTGCCCGAGCCACTTTTGCGACTTCGGGCACTGAAGAATGTAACCGGGCAACACACACGTACTCTTTCCCAGCCCCTTGTTGGGACTTGACAAGCCTGGTGGCTCGGTCAATGCAGACGATGAGGTTTCCGGTGACTTTGGGGTCGAGAGTTCCACTGTGACCCGTTTTATCGACCCGGAGAATCCGTTTGATCCAGGCCACAACCTCATGAGAAGATGGGTTTGCAGGCTTGTCGAGATTGAGTATACCATAGCGAATGTACTCGGCGAGTGGGCGTTTGAGAGGGGAGTAACCGGACGGAAGAGGAGTGTAGTGTCCTGTTCGCACATTGAGGCGGTCGTAATTCTTGAGAAGGATTGGCCACTGAGAGGTGTCGATTGTGGGAGTGAAGCTCTGGGGCTTGATTAGGAAACCATCGGTCTGGGTTTCGATTGTGTCCAAATCTTGGTGGGTCTCATCTTTGTATTTGTTCTTCTTTTTCTTCTTCTCTGAACGAGTTATCTCGAGGTCAGTCATGACTGTTAGAGTACAGTTGTTGCTAATGATGGTTCTCTTTTTTTAATTGATTTATGGTTTCTGGTTGGGTAGCTTTATGGTGGACAAAAATGGTGTCTTCAGGGCTTCTCAGGTGAGACGGGGAGATTTGGAGAGAGGAAGGTACCGGAAACCGAAATTAGGGTTTAGGGTTTTGAAGGTGGGCTGGAAGATGATGCTTTTGTGTGCAGAGGATTCTTGACAGTTGTGTAATTTGATCCATCGGGGTAAGTTGCATCTGGACTGGAGCCCTTGGGTTCATTCAGAATGTGATCAGCTGACTGGGCCTATGTCCAGATGAAAGTATGGGCTGACAAAATTTGGGAAATCTAGCCCATTAGGGAATGGACTCTAGAAGAATTTAGGTACCGGAAATATGAATGACTTAGATAACCAATTCAAAAATATTCAATTTCACAGTAAAAATCTAATAAAACTTTGATAATCAACCATAAAATAAAAGCCTAGAATATCAAATTTCAAAAATTCTATAAGGAGAGGGAGAGAGAGAGAGAGGCGTTACGGCCCAAAGTTATTGAGGAATAAGTTGGAGATTATTCATACTTTAAAATTGTAATCATTTATTGAAAAAAATTATAGCCAAAACTACTTGAATTGAGACACACTTTCCTTAGATTTGGCTCGCCTAAAATATGACTCTAAAAATTTTATCGCAGTTGGTTCATTATGTAATTTAAACGAGTCTCGCCGACTCAAAATCAAGACAAGCTTGAGTTCAACTCAAATTTCTTGAATCTATTGAAAACATTAAAAAGATACAATTTAAAACCACTAACACAATACAATTCAAATCCGACACACAAGTATAGTGGTTCATTTCTCCCCTAACTTGCACCTTACATGTCCCCACATAATACACACAGTTTGTTATACCCTCCAAAACACATCAAGACCATGCCTAATTTAAAACCTTAATCAAGCTTAATACATCTTGTTCGGGGGTATATACCCTCTGTTACAGAAGCAATTGTTGGGGGTAAAGAAAGGAACATTTTTTTTTGGGTGAAAGGGGTTTGAACCTTTGACCTCAAGAAGATAATATCTTCATAAGGTAAAGAGTATCATTGTACCAAACGCTCGTTGATAGATAAACAAAGCACCTTGCTTGCATTATTGACTAAGAATCTTTCTATTGATGATGATGTTCATAAGAATCTGTGTCCAACACTCGAGCACAAAAATGTTGTTTTCGATGGTATCTACTTAAATAAGAAAGCCAATAGCCCACAGTTATCTAATAGACAGAATTAAAAAGCATCTTAGACAAGTTATCGAATCAGAAAATGCCCAAATGGGGCATATGATAGTAATAATAACTTGTTTTGTTGGAGAGCCACAAAAAATATCTGTCAGTATATTCAAGCAGATTTGATTAAATAGAAATTAGAGTCATTGTCACATCATTTTTGGAGGTGGCGTTTGAATTTGGGCTTATTGATCTTCTTGGACGTTTGAGACCGTAGTATGATGTTGAGTAAAGTCTTTTCAACATATGATTGTATCTCCTTATGTGTGTTCATCCAAAAGAGCAAGGAAGATGCTCTCAGAGATTTTGCATTTAAAAAAGAAAAAGGAAAAATAGCTCAAGGTTTTTTACTCTGCCTAAATTACTTGCTGTGTCTCATTGCAATCTGAGATTTTATACCCCCAAGTGTTGAGTCCTAATTGTTTTTTTGGATTAACGGTTAGGGGTGTTCGAACTAATTTATACAGATCTCAACTAATCTCTTCCCTGATCCAATCAAAAACACGGCATAACTAAAATATTCATAAATGTTGAGTCGTAATGGTGATATCTAACTGAATGAGTGAGTTACTAAGGTTTTGATTCAAATCATTTTTAATACATTTTTCTTTAATTTTTCTCGTCATTCAATCAACTATCATTTCTGATAAGAAAAAACAAACAAACAAACACCTATCCTTATGGGCAATTGGCGCTTTGAGTGTTCAGTCTTGATGCAATATCCAGTTGCAACGAAGGAGTTGTAATTTTTCATATTCAAACTCCAGCACCCAAATAATCTTTTAGTAAAGTTTCACTCAATTTTTTTCTTTTTCAATAGTAAAACATCATCATAAATTCAAGTGGATTTTCTATCGGTCTACGATGGGTGATCGCGATCGTTTATAATTCAAATAAATCAATTTTTTTAAACAATTACACGTAATCGCGATCGATTAGTTTGTTTTGTAATTTTTGCTGCCAAATACGGGTGAACAGCCACACAACCGTGCTAAGTTGTCTAGAAGGATCAAACATATAGCCTAAAATAGATATATATATAATATTGCACGTAGCTAGTTGTACCAGATTTAACCAAATAACTGTGTAGAACTACTAAACAACTAGGATTCCACTAAGCAAGTAATTTTAAAATGGGTTGTTGTCAACCAAGTGTTGGTGATCAATTCCTCTCTCTTCTAATTAGGAATCTTTGGCACACTTAAGCTTGGATTTTTTTTTCTTCCTTTCATGCTTTTAGGGTCAAATTATATTGCGTGTTTGAGAAATTCATGTCAAAGTAGGCAAAAATTATAGTACTGTTTGATAACATAGGGTCGACTATCAAAGTTCCTGGCCTTCGACTTCTTTTATTGAAAGATTTTTGCCCGTTGCTATGTCATAACTCTAACCATCCATTGTAGTGAACAAATTTCTAGAATCAATAGTTATTATATATATATATATAATTGTTTGATAAAAGAAGTCAAGAGAGAATGATAGAAAGAAGTTATATTTAGTTGGGAATTGATTACTTACTTGGATGATGCATAACTTGGCCTTTTTATAGGTCCAAAAATTGTACTATTGGAAGATTTTTAATAATTATATGAATGAAGCGGCACTGGAACATAAGCTAACACCTTCTGGCATGGATATATCTCAAATGATTTGAATTAATCAAGATAAGTCAAGCTAAGGAACTGTCGAGTTAGAGTGGAAAATTTGTTAATTTCTTAAAAAATATCTAGAGAAAAAGCTCACAAGTACAATTAATTGAATCAAATATATTTTTTTCATGCTTTTATTTGTAGTCACATCTCTTGTCCCTACACATAATTGCGTGTAATGAAGTCGGCCAGGTGAATGGGGGGCAACTTCTGTGAATGGTGTGGTATTATCTCATTGTCATTAATCTAAAAATGGAGAATTTCTGTGTACAAAGCTATCATCCAAACATATATAATTTTTAATTATAAACTTTATTATGCAAAAATAGAAAAACTCCGACTGTACCTTATTTGTCTCTTAATGTGTCGACCAGGGATGGTGGGTCCAATGTCCTTATCCATCAGCAGAGCAGACAGATGCCATTAAATCCACTTTTTAGGAAGATTTTTTTTTGGGTAAACGAAACTATGTCTAAAGATAATCCTATTAGATATATTACAGACATAGGTTCAAATTTTGTTTTAATTGTTGTTAATAGTTTAAAGTGACTATCTTTATTGGAAGATATTGGAAGTTTAATTTTTGTGTCGACTGATATGCATTTATACTAATAATAAAAGTATCTTAAAATGAAAAAATTTTGATTCATTATTTTGCCCTTATAAAAAATAATAAAAATTATCATGTCCTTTTGTGTTTAAATATTTAAATTATCAGTATATCTTTACATATTTAAATAATAAATTAATTTCTAATATATCATGCAAATCTCTCTATCTTTGCAAAATTTTTGAATGGTCATGTTATGCTTAATAAAATATATAAAAACAATATTATTGGTTTTTCTCAAAACCCCAATATTAATACAAGTTGACAATTCTATTGATACAATATCATTTTCAATGCCTAAAAAAGATATATTTATCTTATTTCTTCGTTCACAATCAAAATAATTTGGTAAAGAAAAAAAAAATTGAGGAAAGAAAAATCTATAACCCTTACTACGTGATAGTTCGATTAAACAAATAACAAAATATGAGTTCATTGGATGTTTATAGTTATGAAGAGAATACAAATAATTTAAGTACGTTAAATATGAGATAATATCTAATACATAATTAAATTTTTTATATATTTTATCAAATATTTTTACGTGTCATGCGTGCATTGCTAGTAATTTAGAGATGGGCGACTGCGTTTACCTGCAATTTGCACTGCAAATGAATCTAAAAATATGTGGTTGAGAGGGTGTGGAGTAAAAGTGGAAAAAACTGGAAGGTGGAGAATAGATTTGCTGCCACGAAATAGGCATCCATCCACTGGTTGTGATTTTATGGACTCTTTCTTCTGTATATCCTACTCACTAAAGTAGATGTAGCTGTGATTTTAGGATGATCGAGTCCACACATAGATTTCAATGGTGTTGAAAGGTCACTTTTTGGCGTGCAGAATCAACTTGGCAGCTTCTATAGTACACTCAACTGAAGTCATCACAGCTGATAGAAGGAACTCCTGATTCAAATGACACCATTTCCTTGCATAAAAATCGTTTCTTTCAACCCCAAAATGGGAATGTCTCAAATGTTACTATTTTCTGTTCAAAAAAAAAATATGTTACTATTTCGATGTATTACGTTTGAATCTCGCAAGAAATATATTTGTTGATTTGATCTGAATTATTTTGTGGTTGATTACGTTCATCTCCTGTTAATATTGTACATTTAAATCTCTTCATCTATCCTATGAAAATACCTTTCATAAATAACGTGTAAAAATACGAGAATTGAAACACATAAAATAATGAATTAGTAAAGGAAGCAAATAACACAAAGTAACATATAAATACTTACAAGTTTCCTCAATGAAGCACACTCCAAACAAGATCCTATGTAAAAAGATATCGACCACCTAGAATCTAATTTTACTTGTTCAACAAACAACGAGATGAGCAGAATAAAATGGCGAAAAAATTCAATTGAAAACTGCAAAAGGAGAGAAAGTAGGCCAAAAAGCTTGAGGCAAAGTTGGAGAACCTCACCATTCGGAAAAAAAAAAAAAAAAAAAGGTGGAGAACCTCAAAAAATGATCTTCTTTTGTGTTTTTTTTTTTTAAAATGTGAAAAAAAAATGATCCATATGGGAATCATTTAAGTACATTATACAAATATATATATCACGAGATAGGTACATCAATGTTTAATTTAAGGTACATATACGTTATTACAGGTACACAAATACATAAAACTAAACACAATTAAAAATTACGT